TTTTCGAACGCACATGCGTTCGTATGGTTTGCTGATTGATTTTGTGTCCATTCGCCTGAAATTTGAGCTGTTTGAATGAATTTTAGCCGTTCGCATGAATTCTGGTGAACGTTTGCCTGTTCACATGAATGGCTCGTTCACCTGTTCGTTCGTCTGTTTGTTCGTCTGATTCACACAGGTGAAAGCCCTGTGTGTGACGTCAGATGCCTATTTAACAGCCCCCTGGTTCTCAAACTCGTGGGAATCATTCTGGCGAATGCTGCATTGCTTCCTTCTATCTCCTGGTGGATTTTCGTTCTGTCTGCTTTTCATTAAGGTAAGTCTTTTTATTGTTTAAAGTGGTATCCTTCAATTTGTTGTGAATTTCAATCTAAGATTCTTTCTTGCATTTGGTTCTGCAGACGGATATGGAAGTCTCAAATTCCTCTGATTCTGATTTTTCCCCACCTCACAAAAGGTCACAACCTAAGTCTTATAGGTAGGCCATGTTTTTTATGGTTTGTTTTATCTGGTATTTAAAAGAGTGCGGATCAGTGATACACTGTTCTATGCATATTTCTGCAGTTCTAAGGGGACTAGAGCGTCAGTGTCGTGCAAAGGGAAGTCACCCAGAAGGACACAATGTGTATCCTGTGATAACAGAGCCCTGGAGGGGATAGGTCTTGCCTATCTGTGGCTGCAGGCCCATCTGAAAGGCAGTCCTCCATCCAGCCTGCGCCTGACATAATGCATTATATTTCACAAGCAGTCGCTCTGGGCATTCAGGAAGCTGGGAAGTCCCGCAAGCAACCAAGGTGTTTGGAACCTTCGGAGTGTTCTCCAGACGTCTCTGATTTGGAGTGTATGACTATGGAATCCCTCAGCGATCTGGGTTCTTCTGAGGAGTATGAAGTGCATCCAGCTCCAGATTTCCTGAAACCTGCTGAAATTGATCATTTGATATCCAGGGTCCGCAAGACGCTCAGTTTGAAGGAATCTTCTAAGGATGAGCCTTCCACATCCAGTCGCCACTTCTCTGACCTCAGGAGGAAGAGGGCGACTTTTCCAGTCCATGAGACTATAAAAGACCTCATCAAGGAGGAATGGTCCAGACCGGACAGAGAATCCTCAGCAAAAGGAAGATTTTCCAGACTATATCCTTTTGAGGATGCTGAAGCATGGGATTCCGCTACCAAGGTGGTTGCGGCTGTGGTTAGAGTGACCAAACTTACCACTTTGCCTGTTGATGATGTGGGTTCCTTCAAAGACCCTATGGACAGAAAGATGTGGCTTCATGTTCTGGCCTGCACCCAGCTTTATGTCAGTATCCAGGGCGCTTAAGGTTTGGATGGGGTATTTGGAGGAGGATATTAAGAACGGTAGGAGCCGTCCCTCCATACTGGACAGCCAGAAGGATCTGAAATTAGCTGTTGACTTCTCATCAACAGTTGCTATGTGCTATGGCTCGGATCATGGTCTGCTGATGCATCCTCCAAAGGCAACTTATGCTCCCTTCCTTTTCATGGCGACATGCTATGTGTGTGTGTATGGGGGGCACATACTGCTCCCCATACACACACGCTGCCCCCCCCATACACACATACTGCTCCCCATACACACACGCTGCCCTGCCCCCATACACACTCTACACACATACATTACCTGATACACACACACACTGCTCCCCATACACCGCCGCCCCATACACACACATTGCCCACACTCACACATACACTGCAGTACTCACCCGCCTAAGGCCTCGTGCTGGTTGGGGCCTCGCAGCCGCCTAAACCCCCTGTGGGCAGACTGTGTCGGGTCCTCGGTCAGAGACTGAGGACCCGACACCAGTAGGGGACTCGGCGGCATACCAGGCAAGCCGCCGGGTCCCCTCCTGGTGTCGGGTCCTCAGTCTCTGACCTCCTGGCTGTCCAGCCAACCATCAGACACTGGTCTGCAGCTCCGCAGTGAGCAGAGCTGCAGACCATGTGTCTCGCGAAAACTGGCCAATCAGAGCGTTGCCGCAGGTTACCATGGCAATGCTCTGATGGTCTCGCGAGATTACATGGTCTTCAGCTCTGCGGAGCTGCAGACCGGAATAAATGGCCACCAGACAAGAAAAGGTATGTTGTCTCCCCCCTCCCCCCATCAGACCCCCCTCCCTCAGCATCACCCCCTGCCTATCACCCCTCCCTGAGAATCAACTCCCCTCACTATAACCCCCTCAGCATTACCCCTCCCTCAGCATCACCCCCTTCCTCAGCATCACCCCTCACTATCACCCTTCCTCAGCATCACCCTTCACCACCCTGAGCATTCCCCCCCTCCCTCACCATCACCCCCCTCCATACACACAACACACTTCAAGCAGCTACCCCATACACATAGGGTCCCAGACAAAAATGCAAACATGCTCACAGAGACATACATTCTCTCACACACACAAGGATATACTCTGTAAGACAGTCCCAGGCACATACACAGGTAAACTGTGCATCAATGTGTATATGTGACAGTGTGCATGTATTGCAACTATTATTTTCACTTTTTTGTTAGTGGTGCCTCAAAGTCTAGAGCCCTCTGCACACAGCAGTGTGTATATGTATATATATATATATATACACACACACACACACGGCGTGTGTTTGTGCTTTAGGGTGCACACTCTAATGCAATAGGATGCGCACCTATGACTAAACCTCACCAAGGAGAAATCTTGGAGTTGAACCGTTGGATTAAACCTTTAATTTGTGTGAAAATGGTTTTAACCCCTTAAGGACCAAGCTTCTGGAATAAAATGGAATCATGACATGTCAGACAGGTCATGTGCCCACTAAGGGGTTAAAGTGGGTTTTGTCGCCCTCTTTTGCATTAGCAGCAGAAATAGAGGCATAGGAGAAATAATCTCCTACACCTGCTTTCACATGATTTAGCCTCATTTTAAAATCAATGTATGAGAAAAAAAAAAAAAATATGAATGGAGCCGAGTCCTCTCTTCTCTCCATCTATTACTGGCCTTTGTTCATTAATGTGATTTAACTTGCCTATTAAACTGCTTAAGATCGATATGTTGTTTAATCTAAGACTCCCAAAGTTTAGCAAGGAGTAAAAGCGATACGAATAACTGAAGGGAAGTCTGCTAGAAGTGTTTGAATATGATTTTTTTTTAAAAGCATCAATTCTAGCTCATCAGCCTTTAAGGAATAATTCCCACATGCAGTCAGGCATTTAACCCCTTCAGCAGCTGTGTATTAGGAGTGTGAGCTCTTTGTGGAGATTGTGGGTGGCTCTTAAAAGAGCCTTTGTGTGAGTTTGGAAGGTGAGGGACAGTGGCGTTTACTTGCTCTTGGTTGCCTTGTGGCTCTCGGTTTTCTTGGGCAGTAAGACAGCCTGGATATTGGGCAGGACCCCACCCTGTGCTATGGTGACCCCTCCGAGCAGTTTGTTGAGCTCCTCGTCGTTGCGCACAGCGAGCTGCAGATGGCGGGGGATGATGCGGGTCTTCTTGTTATCTCTGGCGGCGTTCCCAGCCAGCTCCAGGATCTCAGCGGTCAGATACTCCAGCACTGCAGCCAGATAGACCGGAGCTCCGGCTCCAACCCGCTGGGCGTAGTTCCCCTTCCTGAGCAGCCTGTGGACACGGCCGACTGGGAACTGCAGACCTGCTCTGGATGATCGGGTCTTTGCTTTAGCCCGGACTTTGCCGCTCTGTTTGCCTCTTCCTGACATCTTCAAAACGTAATCTGTAAAAACTATGAACTCTCGCCCCCCTGCACGGCTATTTATACATCCGCAGATTGCCCGAGCTCTAATCTGATTGGTTGCGTTTTAAAGCCACCAATCAGAATCCGACTAAGAGAATAACCAATCACTGTAGTATTACTGCGTTCCAAGCTCAGTGCCCGCTCTGAACGAACCAATAGGAAATGCACACAGGTCAGGCTTTACTGCCAGGGCTTCTATATATAGAGCTGCCGTGTGGAGGAGCGCGTTATTCTGTTGGAAAATTCGTGAGATCATCATGCCTGAACCAGCCAAGTCCGCTCCAGCACCCAAGAAGGGCTCTAAGAAATCCGTGACCAAGACCCCGAAGAAGGATGGGAAGAAGCGTAGAAAGAGCAGGAAGGAAAGCTATGCTATCTACGTGTACAAGGTGCTGAAACAGGTCCACCCCGACACCGGTATCTCCTCCAAGGCCATGGGGATCATGAATTCCTTTGTCAATGATATCTTCGAGCGCATCGCAGGGGAATCCTCCCGTCTGGCTCATTATAACAAGCGCTCCACCATCACCTCCCGGG